ACCAAAACAGAGCAATGTATATTTTAACCACTGGGGGAAAAAAACCCAAGCCACGAATTCTGTCTCAGGCATTTCGTCTGCCAAAGAAACTGAATGTAAAAGAGCAACAAGGATGATTAGGGGACCTGAGGCTCAAACATATGAAGAATGGTTGCAGGAATTGGATCTAACGAAAAGAAGGTGTAAGGGTGAGTGATAGAAGTCTTCCAATACTTAAGGGGCTACCACAAAGAGGAGGTCAATCTATTCTCCGTAGTGGACAAGGAGCAACGGATGAAAACTTATCAAGGAGAGATCCAACCTAGAATGAAGGAGAAATTCCCTGACAGTGAGAAGAATTAATCAGTGGTAGGGCTTCCCTCTAAAACAGGGGTAGATAATAGATAATAGATAGATAGTAGATACTCAGAGTTGGAAGGGATCTTGTAGGCAGTGGTGGGATTCAAATAATTTAACACCCGGTTCTCAGCCCTAATGATTTCTTCCAACAACCAGTTCACCAAACTGCTCAGAAATTTAACATCTGGTTCTCCCGAAGTGGTGTGAACGAGCTGGATCCCACCACTACTTGTCGGTCATCTAGTCCAAACCCCTCCCCAAGCAGGAGACCCTATACCATTTCTGACAGATGGGAGTCCAATCTCTTCTTGAAAGTCTCAAGTGATGAACCTCCCACAACTTCCGAAGGCAACTTCTGTTCCACTGGTTGATTGTTCTCACTGTCAAAAAGTTTCTCCTTATTCCCAGGTTGAATCTCTCCTTGTTCAGTTTCCATCCATTATTCCTTGTCTGGCCTTCGGGTGCCAGAAAATAGCTTGACCCCCTTCCTCGTCTCTGGGGCAGCCCCTCAAACATTGGAAGACTGCTCTCCTGTCTCCCCTGGTCCTTCTCTTCACTAGACTAGCCATGCCCAGTTCCTGTAACTGTTCTTCATATGTTTTAGCCTCCTGTCCCCTCATCATCCTGGTTGCTCTTCTCTGCACTTTTTCTAGAGTCTCAACATCTTTTTTTACAGTGTAGTGATCAAAACTGAATACAATACTCTAGGTGTGGTCTTACTAAGGCTTTACAGAGTGGTATTAGTACCTCACTTGATCTCAATTGTATCCCTCTGTTCATGTAACTTAGGATTGCATTAATAGCAATAGCACTTAGACTTATATACCACTTCATAGTGCTTTATAGCCCTCTCTAAGCACTTTACAGAGTCAGCCTATTGCTCCCAACAATCTGGGCCCTCATTTTACTGACCTTGGAAGGATGGAAGGCTGAGTCAACCTTGAGGTGATGAGACTCGAACTTTATAGCGTGGTGACCAAAACTGGATGTCAAAACTGGCTGTCAAACTTAATTTCATTGACGGCCACATCAGGGTTGTGTTTGACCTCAGGTGGGTGTGGCCAGGGTGGGCATGACATCACTTGTGTTGGGGGGGGGGGTTCCTGAGGCTGCAGAGGCTTCCCCCGAGCCTGCGGGAGGGCAAAAACGGCCTCCCCCAGGCTCCAAAAGCCCTCCTGAGGCTCAAAATGGGCACTGCTGGTATTTCTGGAAGGCCTGTTTTTCGGCCTCCCGAGGTTGCAGAGGCTTCCCTTGAGACTCCAGGATGGCAAAAACGGCTTCAAATGGGCCGAAAATCAGCTGGGAGGTGTGCGCATATGCAGTGCAGGTAAAGGGCAGGGGGTTGCAGGCACATGTGAAGTGGGGCGGGGTGCATTGTATTGTGGATGCCGGCATGTGTGAGCTTTCGGGGCACCCCAACCAAAAGGTTCGCCATCCCTGGTGTCGGGATTCCTGCCTGAGCAGGGGTTTGGACTAGAGGATTTCCAAGGTCCCTTCCAACACAGTTATTCTGTAATTCAAGTCTCAGAATTCCCTAGCCTGCCACCTCCACCTGTCTTAAAGTTCCTAAGGTTAGAAGTGTTGTATTAGATCAAATAAAAGTGTTTGGAGAATTAGATTTAGCTCATGGCTTCCTTACACATAGACACACACACAAAAGAAGAAAATAATAATAATGCCAAGACAAATACTCAGGAAGCTGCAAAACACCCCAGGTTAGCTTTGTCCTCTGTTGTGAGTAAATGTACACAACCTCCTATTACGACAACAGAGTGCAACAGCCTCAATTTTTCCAAATACTTCTTGAGGCAGTATGGAGTTCAGTGACATTCAGGGAAATATTAGTTCAGATTAGTTGTTAGTTTTTTTTTGCTTTTCAGCAGACCAGCTGTAGATATTTTTAAAAAAATATTTTTATTTTAAAATTATGGGTTTTTTTTAATAAAAAAATTAATAAGGGGAAGGAGACGAACTTCAGAGGAAGTTCCTATTTGCTTACCTCTATGTGTTATTCGCCTTATATATGCTACATAATATCCAGAAACTTTTGTCAAATTATTATTAGATCGTCAAATAGATAATTTGATAATGAATGAAAATGTCTCATGAAAATCGATGCTTTCTTAACTTTTCAGTTCAACTTCCCCAACACCATTTCCTAGTGGTCCCTATCCAAGTACTAAGCAGGGCTTAGACTTAAAGATTGAAAATTTCTGGAAAAAGTCACCAAAAATGACTTTTCTCCCCTTAAATGTGAATGTTGTTTAAAATATCCCTTAGAGATAAGAGTTGGCCGAAATGGTTTTCAACATTACAACGTCTGTAAAGTTTAATATATCAGTCTTTCAGATATAGATAGATCATAGAAGATAGATAGATAGGTAGGTAGGTAGGAAGGGAGGTAGATAGATGATACACAGAGATAAAAAGATGATAGAGATAAAGAGATATAGAGATATAGAAAGATAGACAGGTAGGTAGGTAGATATAGATAGGTAGGTAGGTAAGTAGATAGAGATAGATAGATAGATAGATAGATAGATAGATAGATAGATACGTAGATAGATAGATAAATACCATAGATAGATAGATAGATAGATAGATAGATAGATAGATAGATAGATAGATAGATAGATAGATACGTAGATAGATAGATAAATACCATAGATAGATAGATAGATGATAGATAGATGATAGATAGATAGATAGATAGATAGATAGATGATAGATAGATAGATAGATGATAGATAGATAGATAGATACCATAGATAGATAGATACCATAGATAGATAGATAGATAGATAGATAGATGATAGATAGATAGATAGATAGATAGATAGATAGATAGATAGATAGATAGATAGATAATAGAAACACAGATTGATAGATAGATATAGATGATAGATAGCTAGATGACAGAGATAGACAGACAATGGAAATAGAGATAAATATAGATATAGATGATAGACAGATAGATGATAGATAGACAGACAGATGATATAGTTAGAGATAGATAGATATATAGAGCTAGAGATAGATAGATGTCTGTCTATCTCTATCTATCTATCTATCTATCTATCTATCTATCTATCTATCTATCTATCTATCTATCTATCTACCTATGGTATCTATCTGTTTAGATAGATACCATAGGTAGGTAGGTAGGTAGGTAGGTAAGTAGATAGATAAATGATAGATATAGATACTATAAATAGATAGATAAATGGTAGACAGACAGATAGATAGATAGATATAGAGATATAAATTGTAGCTAGCTAGATAATAGATAGATAGATATAATTAGATAATATACAGCCCCATTGATGAATTGTTGGATGATAAACTGACTTTAACTAACATCTGCCTCACCAGCGTGACTCAGGTGAGAACATTATCCTTCATAAGTGAAGCCCTGTTGGTCAAATGTCAGGTAGAATTATTTTATCTGTATTTTTTAAAATTTTAACAAGATCTAAACATTTTCAGTTCCTAAAGAAGCTAGGTGAAGAAAATCTCCCTGTACTTTCTTACGTTCCAAATGGCTAAGTCGCATATCCTTATTTTTACATCCAATCTCCTTCCCACCCCACCCACATCAAAATCTGGTATTTATTCAGCCAAAATTAAGGTAATAACTATGCCAGTGGGAACTAAATAAGGCCCTTGGTTATCTCTCTTGCAAACCCTGATCTTTTGGACTGCACGTTTTCTATTTGTGTACCAGTTTCAGCTCCTATGCCTGAAGCT